CTGTTAAGACTGTGCTCAAGGGGTGGATCCAAAGGGCTTGGCTTCAGCTCGTGCGCTGCGCCCCTTACCTGAGTATGTGCCCTTAATTTCCGAAGGCTAGAAACAAAGTCTGAGGGAGGATGATAAATCCTGGTGGACTTCGAGGGGACAAGTCTGGTAGGCTTTTTCAAGGAAGAGTCAGGCTGATATTCAGGGGGTTAGTCCGGCCGACGTAAGGAGGGTTAGTCCGGCCGATCATATGGTTAGTTCGGCTGACATAAGAGGATTAGTCCGGCCGACGTAAAGGGGGTTTGTAGAAACTGACAGAGGTAGAGGCAGAGATATAGTACAAGGAATCAATCCAGGGACTCAGAGTTTGGACAGGGAAATGGATCCCAGACCCGAGAGACAGATTCCAATCCAGGGAAACAGAATGAGGATAATCTAAGGTGATATTTGAACTGAGGAAACTACTACGAGTTTACAAGGAATTATATACAATGGACATGTGTGACGGAGACGGAGTCAGTGGAGATCTGGGTCAACGAGAGGAACATATGGAAAGGTTAAACTGACAGGTGCAAGGAAAATAATACAGGAACAATTGAGAACGGAGATGGAGATGAAGTATCCAATGGATCCGGGCATAGGAGATATGATTAAGATAAAGTCGGATATTAACTGTCAAGCAGATCCGGGCATATAGGGGTTAGGACAAGGGGACTATACAAATGGGGTAACAGAATAGGAGCAGGACCAGAAATGAACTGTCAAGCGGATCATGGGAAATGGGGACGGAGACGTACTGTGAAGTGGATCCGATGTTTTAGGGGTTAAGTGGACCCAAGTGGGTCCGATATTTAGGAGGTCCGACGTATGCAGGAGGAGCGGATAAGTGGACAAGTGGACAAGTGGACGAGCGGACGACATGGGTAGGATCCGATGTATAGGACGTCCGATGAATAGGAGGTCCGACGTATACAGGAGGAGGAGGGGGAGTGGAGGACATCTAGACAAGAAGGGTCGATGATGTATGACATGGTAGCGCAGACTAGCTGCAGGGATGCGGACTTTGTGTCGACAGGTTAGGGGAAGCAGGGCAGATCCTGCTGAGGGGTATGTCTAGTGGAGACTGGGATGCGGAGTTATCCTGCCGAGGGGCAGGGATAGGGTTAAGATATAGCTTGGCTACATTTCGGAGGTCCAGACATTATTTGTTGGGAGAGATGGGATATGATTCAGGGGCTCAGTGTACGGTATATGACACTATCACAGTATACCCTAATGATCTTCTACAGCCTTCTGGGCACTCGCTGCAGGACCAGCTTGTCCATCCAAGACCCTATCGTTTTTCTGATATGGATCTACCAAATCTCATTGACATATGGCAGCAGCAGCCTCCTGTCATCCCAGCTGCAAATGTGACAGCAAGTCATGCAGCTAGCCTTATGTCAGTCTCAGAAGAATGAGTCAGTCAAGAGTCAATCTGATGTCAGGCTATTGTTGATCACCATTTATGAAACATTAGTCAAGCTCTGGCTGAAGAGGAGTGCTGTTGAGCATTAACTCTTCAGTCTACCTATAATTCTAGCCTAGCCTTCATGACTCAGCTAGTAAGCAGAATTGCAGTACCAAAGCCAACTCCAAACTGAAGTGCTACCTTCCAACTGCTTGCAGCATTTCTTTCATGGTGTCCAAATTGGTAAAGTGCAATTGCTAGGCCGATCAGCTACATCCTTTCATGGGTTCATGCACGACAAAAGCCCAAAGAGACAAACATTAAAACTCATTATGTGAAGTGTGATGGGGACTAAGAAGCATTTTTGTCAGCAGTACTCCACAAGTAGTAATTATATGTGACAAATGTAGCTAGCATGAGTGTCTGTGTTGAGTATTATTCCAATGAAAATCAATGTGGTACATAATTGTGATTTAATTGCTGAAGGTAGGTGTCAATTTTTCACTCTCTAGAATTTTAATAGCATGTCTCATTGCTTGTATGCAACACACATTTGCCGCATCCTTTTGAGACACCATGTATTAAATTGTACTCCTTGATGTACTTCTCCTAGCTTTCCATCTTCGCCTTAAGATCAATATTGTGGTGGTTTATGTTCAGGTTAATGTCTTGGTACTGCATGTCGGCTTCCAGGTCTTGAACATGGTCAGCGTGCCATTAGATCTCCAGCTCCTGTGCAAACCTAGTCTGTTCATGTTCCCATTCTGATCTGCTCCACCAATTCATCATTTCTCCTGGGCTTTGTCTCAGTGAAGGTTATGGATATATTCATCTGTATCCTAAATACAATGTCAACCAATCTGAAAAGATGTGGGATCACAACATACAATGCACAATCCTGTATTATCATGTATATCACACCTATTGCGCTTGGTACACCAAGGAGATATAGGGCTGTCCTCCACATGGTGATTTATGATGGCAAGAGAGTCAAGTGAGGTGTTTGCTATGACAGATCTTGGATGGTTTTGAGATGGGTGTTTTAAAAGATGGGTGGACAATTCACACTATGGCAATTGCCCTATGTGATTTTTCAGCACTTCATCTGTTATCCCATAACTCGTAGGCAAGCATCCAACAATGTCAGTGACAATTCTTTCACTCCACGCCCATGGTGTTTGGAGTCAATAGCTAACATCTGGCAAACAATGTTTGAAGCCATAGTCATACAAGCACTACCTCAACCTCATCTTTCAACACCCATTCAACTTTTGCATCAAGGACTTCAAAAAAATGCAAAGTTGTGGGATGTCCTGCAGAGACGGTTAAGAACATGTAAAAACATGGCTAGCACTATCACTCTACACCAGTTCCATTCACTGTCGGAAAACATTGTTTCCACTGCATTGCAGGGTGCCTCCTTTATCAAACAAGATATATCAAGAATGCCAGGTCCAGCACATGTTCAGTGGGGTCCTTCAGGGAGGACATCTGTCAGGATCCTAAACACAATTGCAGCCCATGACATCAAGACATCAAGAGCAAGATGGATAATGAACATGACAGGATTTTTGTCCATCTTGCCAATGCTATCCACCACCATTTCGAGAAAGCAACAACAATACAATCTTAGATGGGCATCCCCTCAAGATATCACTTGCAAACATTCTGCTTGATGGAAAATACATGCCTCAAGAGAACATGTGAGTAGGTTAGACCTGCTCAGAATTACTGAAAGCCTGTGTTGTCACACACCTACATCTACTACCCTAATGTTATGGTGCAGTTGACACCTTCACATCCATTTTGGACATCAATTGGACTTCACGTCAACCTTTCTATGCAGCAAGTGAACCATCTGAAACCCCTTGTGGGATGTGCGACAACATCGCCCTGCACGAAGATGCTTGCCTATCATGATTGGGTATGGTCTCTCATTGATGTCGACATAGCCCAGCACCAGGAGATGGACCATCCCTTTCAGCGAGCCATCTGGCTAAACACATTGCAAGCTAATGGGGACTTTGCGACATAACTAAATTCATGCATGCCTGATCTTGCCAAAATGAAGTATATCTGTACTATGACTTCACTGCTGGAGGCACTCAAGCCCAATTTCATCAAGGATCGAAGTGCAAGGCTCGTGCAACAGGTGTCAGCACTGTCACCATGACAAATGGGAATGGCATTGTTGTGGAGAAGCGGGCACTGTTAAGACTGTGTTCAACGGGTCGGACCGGGCCTCAATTTACCGACGGCATTGCGGTCCGGTTGCAAGACAACCCGAAAATCATGGAAGTTGCTTGGAAGACTCAAGGGTGGTCTTCCAAGACCGTCCCAAGACCATTCCAATGCATGGGTCAAATTTTGAGACAGCAAAGATAGGCCCTCAATTGCAAGACAATTGGAATCCATGTGACTCAATTTCAAGGGCGCAGAATTCATTGGATCCATTGTAAGGCAATGTGTCGAATTGAGATGTCATTAAAATAATATACTAATTACTAATTACAAAAGTTGAATTTCTCGATACGTATCACTAATAAGACTATTGCGGGTATGAGTCGATGGGACGGCAAATGCTCAGAGGACGCCCTGGGCCGGATCAGACGATAATAGCTCCTGCGGCCAGAAAATGTCAATGGGGGCTCAACTAATATGTGCAGATACGCACATTATAACGGTAGGATGGTGGCACTGTACAGTGGTCCAGAAATGAGAGTCCGCCATCCACAAACACCTGAATCGGTGCCAGCTGCTGCGGCATCTTGGTGGCATGCTCAAGGAGAAAGTTGTGGTAACAATGATAGTGTTAGATATTGTCGAGGGGGAAATGGATAACCGTTTGACGGTAAGCAACTGCCTGCTTCAACGAGCCGACAATGAGGGCTATGATTAACAAGTTTTTCAGTATTGATATTAAAAGAAAAAGGATTCAGAACACGTACCATGTTCATCGCATGCCCATTAATGTCATTGACACGTTGATATGATGAGTTCTGGCTGATGGTGACGACGGTTGGTTCACACAACGATGACTGTTGAAAACAATAAAAATGAAGTTATTAGTGACAGTCTCGGCCTAATGTTAATAAGACTTACCCGGGACTTCATCTGGTTGAGTTGCAGTCGACGTCGACGTTGAGGAGAGATGTTGTCTATAATAATAGTAAGATGGAATCGTCTGTTGAAAGAGGTTGAAACTCTAAGGGAAGACGAAGTTCAACCTTTGTTTGGCCTTGCATCATCTTTCCATAATAGGAAACAACTTGCGATTTGAATTCAAGTCCATTGAGAGGGGCAAAACATGCAATTCTATATGCACTAACCAAGTTATTTAAGGTGGCTGCTGGTGGATGAGTGTGACGGAAATACTAATATGTATTGGAAGAATGTAGGTAGAAAGTGGTCAGCATTGGCAACCAAGCCTTGAATCTTTAAGGCCCAGCCGCTGGTGTGATGCGTGACAGAAATGTTGAAAAAAGGTAGTAAGGAGGCTAATCAAGAAATACCACATATTGAAAACAAATCGTGGGTGGAATGTCTGTCAGATGGGCACAAGCTATATGGCCTTTCGGCCAGATCTCCGTGTAGTCTGAGCAATATTGCTCCCAACAGCTGAACTAGTAGAATCCACAGGAAAGCCTTCACCCACGACAAGATTATCAGCTGTCTTGGCTTTGCGTCGGGGCTTTGGTTTTGGTTTGGGGCGTGCAGTATCAGCTTCCACAGGACCTAAATGTTCAGCTCCAACACGGGCATCTTGATGCCCCAGGTCAAGGTCCCCCATCGCAGAAGATATAGACTCTGAAGGAGCTGGAACAGGTCGAGCTACAATAGTGGGAGCCGCCGTTGCATTGACAGTCAGAGGTGTGGGAGGATGGTTCAGAGGTGCGGGAGGATGATGCGGAGGTGCAGGAGGATGATTTGGAGGTGCAGGAGGACGAGCCTCATCTTCGGAGTCGGAAAGTGGTGAATTGCGCAACGACGGATCCAAATGATCTGGGTTGAAGACCGGTCCTTCAAGCTCCTGTTCCATGGCATGCTCAAACTCTTCTTCGTACATGTGGCCCGGTCCATCATCATGGGTAGAAGGAGGGACAGAGGATGAAGTCGAGAAGAGAGCATCATTGAAGAATAAGAACACCTGGCGCGCCCAGGGGCCTCCAGTCAGTAGGCATTGACGGAAGAAGTTATGGTATTCGCGGTATGGTATCTTAGTGGTCTCCCCAATCTCAGTCAGTTCTGCATCGCCCGAAAGTAGGAAGATTGCCTGATTATTGAGAATAATGAGTCGTAGCCATAACGATAGCTCAAAATTGACTTACAACGACAGCAGCAGCAGCAATCATACCTGGTGTTGTGGCCCGTAATTTCCAGATTTTGGCCTTCATCCTAGAAGATGCCGCACCTGTGGCAGCCAATGATGATTTCCCGAAGAGTGACACTTTCAACACCTGTTATACATCATACAGGGTTTATTAGCATGCACGACAACAAAAAAGAGGAACGTACTTGCACCAACTTCGCTGATTTGAGCATCTCATTTGGTACTGGCTTTTTGGGTGTAGGAAACAGTACCAGTGCGAACTTTGTATAGTCACCATGGGGACTCAATAAAAGCGCACGACATTCGGAGTCTTCGTGTCGTTTATAGCCCCGTATGAATATATTGGTGTTCAGACCGAAGATGGCACCAGCACATGCCTTGACATCGGAAGCCATTTCAGAACGAGCGTTACTGACGCCCCTCCCGAACTAAGGACATTTGGATCAGAATACGAGAATACATTGACAGGACAGGCGTGACATACCTGTGAGCCGAAGCTTTGATAATTCATCAATTCACGCTCTTCTGCGGGAATGAACTGGAAGAGTTTGGCCTTCACACCGTCCTCCATCAAAACCCCGCTTATCCAGCGCTCCTTGCTGTTAAGATCAATGTCCGGACAAGTACGCAGCGGGAAAATCTCGAGGTTAATCCATAGGCAGTGAGTGATAGAGTATTTCCTCCCAAGAACCCGGATGGTATCTTCCTTGGCTGCCATCGCAAGATCGTTTGGGGTGAGATTGCGTCGCTTGCGACCTTTGGATGTTGCCGCCTCGAGGAGCGTGTTCCTCTTCATAGTCTCCTGGTATCTACCATGCAGGTTGAGTAGTAATTTCTGAGTGACCTCAAGAGCCTAGTAATTGTGAACTGACTGATTAAAACACTCAATAGGAATGTAATAGCATACCTGACGGAGCTCCTGAGGTGTTGCATCTACGGGTGCGGGTGCGATTGCGGTGCGGACACGTACAAGTTCTTCGTCTGGGTCATCTGAGTCAGACCCGGAGTCAGACTCGGAGTCAAATCCAGCATTGGACTCTAGTAGATCTTGTTGCTGTGGCATGATGCGCAAAGGCGAGAGGACTGGTAACTCGAAATTGAGTGGAGCTGGAGGAATCTGTATTAGTATCACTGCGAGTTTATATACAAAACTCGCAGTCTTAGACTGGGTCTTACGCTGATAGGCATTGCAATTCAGAACGTTTTGGGGACTCGAGGGCAACACCACGCACAATTACATGCTAAACCTGTAGCACGAGTAGCGATTACACACAAATCAGTGACTCAAAAGTAAATTGCACACCTGTTGTGTCCAGAAATGTCCAAGTACAACTTGTAACGCGTAATGACCCACGTGTGGTGTCAATGTGGTAATTTCCAGTGCACAATTGTACCCTGCCAAGATAGGGCAGCGTCATAAGAAACGCATGATGAGTACACATGTCAGTGACTCGTCAATGTCATTATTATCATGACAAACCTATTATTAATAATTCTCTGAAACACCCAAACATGGTGAGGAGTCGGGTCTTGTTGCGAAGGTGAATGAGTGTTCTGGCTCATAGACAAGCGGGTCCTGTACGTCCGAGTTATTTCAGTAATGACAATACTGCCTTTAAAAACACGTGAATTGCTGGAACTGCATAGAGGTTCAGCGCACAAAACATACCTTGTCCCAGAAATGTTGAGCTTGCTGGAAGTAACCGCACCACAGTTCTAAGCCTCCGCCCAAGGTCTGTATATAAGCAAAAAGGCCCTAGATTATAAAATGTTGATAGCAGTCAGGACCTGAGCAGTCTGCTTGGTCTGTATACCAGCAAAAAGGGCCCTAGGTTGTAAAATGTTGATAGCAGTCAGGACCTGAGCAGTCTGCTTGGTCTGTTTTCCTTCAATGAACGCTTGCAATTCCCTATAATTTGTCAACAGTAAGTGGCAAATGATGAGCGAAATCGGCATCCGGTCTTTATGAAATGGTTTGCAGACCTAACATAATGGTGTATGGCGACTCGGACAAGATATCTGGATACATATGCGCCACTACTGGATCTGGACAAAGGGAGCACATATAATCAGTTAGGCTCCATGAAGCGCTGGGACACAGCAAGAGAAATAAGTGACGAACATCGATGATCTGGTCAGTCATAATCTTCCCTCTCCCTAAAGCCCAAAATATAGTGTCCATGCTGCCATAACAGTTGAGAAAGCAGTGGGCTTGGACGTAGGGATCTTGGGACACGTTGTAAACATGTTTGGGAGTAAGTGTTGAAGTGGTAGGGTCGTCGAGCCTTGGCAAGGTTGGCTCCATTTGCGATGTTGTGGTTGGGCGACATCAAGGAATTGCAGGGAGGTAGACAAGCGCGCATGTGAAAAATGTTTCGACTGGCAGAATTACGGGGAGGTAGACAAGGGTGCACTTGAAAAAAAATCCAACTGGCGGATTGCGGGAAGGCAGAGGTCCAAGAGAGAAGTATTGTACAATGGGGGTCTAAGGAGCCTGCCAGGGTTGTGTGTCTGCGATATGGAAAGTACAGTAATATCTATGGTAGGTTCAGTTTAGTGAGGGATGGGTTAAAAGAGTTGTCTCTGAGAACGAAGAAATATGTCAGTGTCTACATAATCAACAAGGAAATGGTCTCCAGGAATAGCAAAGTCCGGAACAATTAATACACCACAAATGATAGAATGAAGCGTGATGAATTCTGATGAAGCCAGGGGTCGCGCACGAAGGCAAGTCAGTCACAAATGTCGATCAATAGTACGTTGTGGACCCATTCACGCATCCATAGGAAGAACTCAAGCAAGGTCTAAAACCTTGCTGCCAACTGTGTGCTTAAACATAAACAAAATGCGAACGAAAATATTCTTGTCATTGCCGTCCTTGTCGTTGGTGCAAATCAGGGCGCAGTCGTGTCGCTCATGGCCATGAAAGCTCGGGTTACACCGCAAATAGTCTGTGGCGAGCTTCCAATCCACGACAGACTCATAGTTGACCTTGAGGAACCGATGCTCCTGGACCTGTGATTGTTTATTAATAAGAAGAGGAAGTCATCAGTGAAACAACTATTACTGACTGTATCTTGCGCTGTAAGTCTTAGCCATGTTTTTCCGTCAGGAAGTGATATATTGTGCGCAGGTAGAAAGTTGTTGAGGAACAATGAAAGTTTCTTGCGGAATTGCACAAAGGCAGGGTTGGAGGTGTTTTCTTCATCGAGCTGCAAAAGGGTTAGTGTGCGTTGTGGGGCACCAAGGTAAATATGTCCGCCAAAAGGCTGATCATCTAGGTCTTCTTCCTCAAGTTCTCACTCTGAGAGCATGACCTTACGTTGCTCTTCATCAAGGTAGTCGATGCGACTCCGGATGAGCCCGGAGACAAATGTCATATGATCTAATCGAAGTATCTACGCAAAGGATGAACAATGAGTCAGAAAACACGATCTAAAAAAGTAGTACCTGATTCGCGATATCCTTCCCGTTTGTTTGCAATTTGTATGCACATTTAATCGGTCCATGTTGCTTCTCATTCAGTCTGGTGCTGAAGTTCCGAGCTGCTCCTTTCTCCCTTATGTCAGTAAATACATGCTTTGAGGCGTGAGCCTTGGGAAAATTCCAATTCTTGGTTGCATCGTCGCCAAGGGCCTCGATATATTCCTGTGTGATAGTAGTATTGAGTCACGGTGACGGGCACAAACGATCCCAACAGGACTTACATCTACAGTTCCTGAAACAGGAGTATCTCCGCCTCTCCAGCTGCAAGAGTACTTTCAGTATGAACATCAAGCGATACGTACATGTCAATGTGAAGATAGCTCACTATGCACTTTAAAAGTGCATAGCCAGCTTCATCTTCCGCCCGTGTGAGCACGTTCTGTGCCGCGTATATGATTTGCTATCAAAACCATGAGAAATGAGTAGTTTTAAATATAGCGCACGAGAACGTACCTTAGAAATATCCTGGAACTTGTTGCCGTCGGTAAAGTAGATGTTGGTGACGCGGTCAAAGTGATTGAGGTTTCGCCATCACGGAAATGAATCAAACCTTAAAATTAATGACCTATGAGACACTGATAATAGACTAACGACTGGGAAGGGACTTACTGTTGATCAACCGTCTTCTCGGCAACACGTCCCAAGGCCTTGAGGTGTTTCTTGCACTCATTGAATAAGTGATCACCGAACTTTCCCTTATGGTAAACATGTAGCGGATCTTGTGAGAGCGCATCGTGCGGGTTCAACAGCTTGACCTTCCAAAATGCATTCTGATGGTTGTGAGATCATGTAAGTGAGAAATTAAAGACACATCCATCACGCACCTTGATAGGCCTTAAGCTCTGTTTTTTCAGTTCTGCCTCGCCCTCAACATGGTCTCTGGACCATAACGCAACCCGATTTTGTGCATCTTCAACGGTGCACTTAGGGTAAGTCGTTGAATGATCGGTGAGCGCTTCTCTTGGGACGAGGCAAACGGGGCAAGGACAGCCAGATTTGAGGCCCCGTATCAGCGCCATCACGCACCTGATATTATAATAATATAAATAATTTGTATTAGAAATGATGTGTCAATGATAAAAAAAACAAGGACACTCACTGCTCCTCGTAATCGGCTGATAGGATCAGAATTAAGGGAAATAGCCAGCGTTGGATTCCGTCGTAGCACTCGTGTGCGAAGCCAGTTGCAGATAAGAGTATGATAGTTATAAATAAAATTGAAAAGGATTCGTGCCATACGACACGCTTCAGATTCGTATAGGAAAGTTTGCCATCTTCATCTGAGTCCTCGGGAACCTGTAACAAGGGGCAAAGACCATCAATTCTTGCAGTTGAGCGTGAGTCATACGATGTTGGGAGGACTTACAATCGGTAACCATCCTACCATGCGCCCTCCTCCGGTACCATCAACATTTCTGATGTCGACTGGTAGATTCCCGCAGCGGGCGATTACCGGGTACACTTTGACAGTACCAGCCGATGAGAGATGAGTTTTGTCGGCATATAGTATGAACACAAACGGCGCTCCATTCTCAGGTAATGATGACTAAATGAATTGAAATTTATTAGTTAGTCACGTAGTATACAAAAAAATTGGGCAGACTTGGAGATTCCACCAACGGTCTCCCATCCATGGCTCATGGAAGAAGCGCTCAAAGCGGGTCCCATTGTGCTTATAAAGCCGCTGAGCGTCCTCATCTCTGAGTGCCGGTACTGAAACTGACATATTTTTAGTTAAGAAAAGTGTTTAAGGTGGTCGACAAACTGAGCAACGCTTCGGGTGTATCGTACAACTTCGAAAAAGGGGCCAATATTGATGACAAAGGCAAGACTATGTGAATGGACTACATTTCAGTATGTATTGTTCGTCTCTCCTGCTTTACCACACTAACTATTCACACAGAAAAACCCCGATGCGAAGGCCTTCAAAAACAAAGGATGGCTGCATTTTGAGAAGCTGCGGGGTGTCATCCCAGTGACCGCAAGCAGCTGGACAGGCTTCTATGCCGGCTCGAGCCAGGCCGCAACCACGGGCCACAATACAGATACACCAACAGCTACGCCAACAGCCAGTAGCGACTGTTACAGTGGCCCCACTCATTTTCCCATCATCACGCTTCCCTGAACTATTCTTGTTATCTTTGACTGCTTATCAACATGCGCTGCATGAACATTCCAGATACTTCTGTCTATTCCTGTTATCTCTGACTGCTTATCAACATGCACTGCATGAACATTCCAGATAGTTCTTTGATGTTCTTCCTGACTCCTTTTACTTCCAAAGTCAGCTTGGTCCGTGCCTCTTTTGTTCCCTATAAATACTGCGATAGTTGTACTTGTATTTCTTTAACTTGAATCTACTTGGTTCTCTCTGATACTTGATTATCTTCTGAGGAAGATATTTGATTCCGATCTAGCTCTTATAGAGACTAGCCTATACTCGAACTTCACTTAGAGGGAGAGCCCCTCAAGTGTCTGAACTGAACGTCGTAACACAAAGAACTCCTTTATTGGATTAGTTACGCAAGAACTATCCAAGTCGTAACAAAAGATTCAAGTTACCCAGAACCCCTCTTATCACCGAGGGACCTACCCACTCTGAAACCTCGAACCCAGAAAAGAAAGACAAGACATCTTCTCAGAAGCTGGCCTCGGCTAAGGCAAGACACACCGCCGCAGGAAAACTAGGAGCAAAACCGTATCCCAGGATACAACCAAGAACATCCCCTCAGACTCCTCAGAACCCATTCTCAGCCCTATTAGCAGGACCCTCCGCTATAACCAGAGTGGTCATTGCATCGCCAATAGGATATAGTTCGCTTGAAGAAGGACCATCCCAGAACTCACAACAATCGCAACAAGAATACTTCCAGAACCCACCTGTTGATAAAGATGAAGAAATCCCTGATGCTCCACTGCTTGATCTTGACGACGAGGAAGAAGAAGACTACAACGAAGAACCCGAAGACCCAGAAGACCCCGAACCCCAAGAACCCACTATGGCAGGAAGAGGAGACAAACCCATTGAACGAAAGATCGGATACCCACCGGACTTTTCCGGAGACAGAGAGAAATTTTCCCAGTGGCTATGCCTAGTCGATGCATATATCGAAATCAACAATGAAACCTACGACACCGATAAGCGAAAAATCATTTTCGCCCTTTCATTCATGAAAGAAGGAGCAGCAGCTCTTTGGATGGAAGATTTCACTACCTTCACTAGGGAAGTAAACCCGAGCTCCACAACCGGAGCAAAGAATGGCTATGGAACTTGGGGTGACTTCATCACCAAGATGAAAGAGAGTTTTTCCCCAATAGACTCCATAGGAACGGCCCTCCACAAACTCCGCAACCTCAAACAGAAGGATGATCTAGGCGAATACATTGCCACATTCAAACAGCTTGCCCAGAAAGCTGGAATCAACAATTTCGCTGCCGTAAATGATTATTTCTTTAACGGTCTGAACTATGGAGTCCTCCAGAAGCTTTGTGACTCTGGAGAAATCCCTGAAGATGCAGAATGACTCTTCAAGAAAGTCGTCAACATCGAAAATGCTTATCAACTCCTCCGTTCACACAACCCCCATCATTCAAACCAGCATAACAAGAAGAGGAACAAGAACCGTAAACCAACCCGATTCTCAGGCACTCCAAGAGATGAGAATGCGATGGACGTAGATCGCCTCATCGAAGATGAGAAGTGCGAATACATGAGGCAAGGAAAATGCTTCAAATGTGGGAAAATAGGACATCGTGTGAATGATTGTACATTCCACCCCAAGGAAACTGGAGATGACCGAAAGAAAGGAAAAGGAAAGCAACCGGTAAGACACGAAGTGTCTGATGATGAAGAATCTTCCAGCAAGATCGAGGAAGAAGATGATGAATCTGTCAGAAGATGGAACTTGGATTTTTAACCTCGGAGCCTGCAGCAATGTCAGATACTCCGTATATCGATGTACGTATAGCCAAGAATGTAAGAAAGACTAAAGAATTTAGGGTCCCGGCGACCATCTTCTCCTCCGTACATCCCGATAAAGCATTGCACACAACCGCCATAGTAGACTGTGGCGCAGGGGCAACATTCATCAACTGGATGTTTGTCTGGAAACATGGAATCAAGATCCACAAGTTCAACAAACCCTTCTCTATCCGAAATGCCGATGGACAACTCTCAAAGAAGCAATGCACCCACTATTGTCATCTAGCCATAAAGATCGACAAACACCTCATGATTGGGAAATTCAACGTAATGACCATGGGAGAAAGAGATATGATTCTTCTTGGTAAACCCTGGTTATCAGCCATGAATCCCGACATTGATTGGGTAAAATACACCCTCAAACTCCCGGCTACTCCACACTCCCAGAAGCTAGAACGAGAATACCAAGAGATGTGGAAGATTCCTGTCCCTCTTCCCCAATACGACACCAAAGATGACGTATGGGACGATGTTCCTACCAAAACCTTATTCGCCCAAAAAGTGGATGACGTCTCCACTTACCCAATCAATGACAATGAAATACTCATTGAATATTCTCCTGATGGGTCGACTGTCAGAATCATTGAAAACCTCTCCCTCAACACTCCTCTCACCCAAGATGGAACATCCACGATTGAACTCAAAGGAGCAGTTTCGATAAAACCTTTAAGGAACCAATGGATATTCTCAAGAAAAGCTACCAACGAAGAGTACTTGAAAACCAGTAACAAGGCTCAAGAATTCGCTCTGAAAGATGCACAAGAAAAGAAGAAAAGGACTTTTGAAGAGCTCGTCCCATCTTATCTCCACGACTTCGCCAATATCTTTGCTAAAGACGGACTGAACAAACTGCCTCCTTCCAGACCAGGAATGGATCATAAGATCGAAACAAAACCCGGTTATGTCCCTAAGTCAGCAAAAACCTAACCCTATCCCAGAAAGAAACTGATGCCGTGAAGGCCTTCTTAGATGAACATCTTTCAAAGGATTTTATTCAACCATTGAAATCCCCCCAAGCCAGCGGATTCTTCTTCGTAGGAAAGAAAGACGGTTCTCTTCGTCCCTACCAAGACTATCGCTACATTAATGAATGGACGATAAAGAATGCATATCCCCTCCCCCTGATTCCCCCATTAAGCGCAAAACTGCAGGACGCCAACTATTTCACAAAGATGGATGTCAGATCCGGATACAACAACATCTTGATTCACCCTGATGATCGTTGGAAAGCCGCCTTCACTACCTCATTCGGACTCTTTGAACCGAAGGTCATGTTTTTTGGCCTGTGCAATTCACCAGCCACGTTTCAAGTGTATATGAATCAAACATTCAGGAAAGAGATTGACGAAGGATGGATGATCGTTTACATGGACGACATCTTAATATTCTCGAAAACCCTTGAAGAACATCAAAGCCGAACCCGCCGCATTCTTGAAATCATCCGAAAAGAAACCCTCTTCCTGAAACCAGAAAAGTGTACCTTTGATGCCCAGGAAGTGGACTATTTAGGAATGATCATTAGACCCGGGCAAGTAGCGATGGATCCTGCCAAGATTTCTGAGATCAGTGAATGGCAGGTCCCATCCTCTGTGAAAGAAGTTCGATCATTCCTCGGATTCTGCAACTTCTACCGTCACTTCATATCCCACTATTCCGACCTTGCGCGACCCCTAATCGACCTAACAAAGAAAGATGCAACCTTCTTATGGACGGAAGCCTGCGAAAATTCCTTCCAGACACTGAAGAAATGTTTCCTTTCTGAACCTGTCCTCTGAAATCCTGATCCTTCACGACAGTTTGCACTCGCCACCGACACTTCACTTGTTGCCACAGGAGCTGTTCTCTTGCAAACGGACGAAAATGGTGCCTACCATCCATGTGGATATCTCTCCCAATCCTTTAACCCCGCAGAACAAAACTATCAGATCTATGATCGAGAACTTCTCGCGATTATCCGTGCCCTGAAAGCTTGGCGTCACTATCTTGAAGGGAACCCACACCCTGTAGTGATTTTCACAGATCACAAGAACCTCCTCTATTTCCGATCAGCGCAGAATCTGACTTGTCGCCAAGCACGTTGGCAATTAACCCTCAATGAATTCGACCTAGAACTGCATCATGTTGCGGGAAGCAAACTTGCTGCCCCTGACGCTCTCATGCCGCCCTGATCATTCTGCTGATCAGACCGATAATGCCAATATCACCCTCCTTCCTGATGAATTATTTGGACGACTCATTGACATTGATCTTGCTGCAGCACTGAAACTGCAAAATCCCCTCTCCGATCCCATCATCCTAGCAGCCCAACAAGCCCTAGACGGACTCAGTGCTCCTCCCATGAAGTCCACACTCTCAGATTGGTGTATTGAAGAAAACACGCTCTTCTACAAGAACCGAGCCTACGTACCCGCGGATCTCCGACACCGTATTCTGACCCTTCACCATGATCACCCTACCGCCGGTCACCCTGGATGCTTTAAAACTGAAGAACTAGTTAAACGAGACTATTGGTGGCCTGGGATGGGAACCTTTATCCGAAAATATGTCGAAGGTTGCACCATGTGTCAACAGATGAAGTCCGACACACACCCCACAACCCCTCCTCTAAACCCGATCTCCTCCACCACCTTACACCCCTTTCCCCAAGTTTCGGTAGATT